ATATATAAAGATCTATTTATATGTCTGCAATTTCTTGGGAACTCTTTTTGATGGTTGTTTGATGGTATCACAGGTTTGTACAGTGAAGTGTGCTGTTCAAATATAAAAAATCAAATACTATCAAATAAAATTTAAAAGGTACAGAAATTCTTAGGCTAATTCTAGAGAGCTCTGTGTGTGCAAGCGATTGGGCTGTGTTTAGTGGCACAGGATCGTATTCTGTAGTCTGCTTCTTCGTGCTGAACGTTGTACAAGAGCTTGCTTCTCTCTAGGCCTACTCAAACTCAGAGAGATTATTTGACACACACACACACACACACACACACACACACACACACACACACACACACATACACACGTACACGCACACAGACACACACACACTCACACAGAGAGAGAGACAGACAGACAGACACAAACTCACAGAGAGAGAGAAAGAGAGAGAGAGAGAGAGAGAGAGAGAGAGAGAGAAAGTGAAAGAGAGAGTGTGAAAGAGAGACAGACAGACAGACAGACAGACAGACAGACAGACAGACAGATAGACACACACATACGTGTACACTTGTGCATCTTTCTATTCCTCCTTCCCCAGATGATCCTCCTGCTGGTACTGATGGCCATGAGGAAGAGAATGCCGTTTGTTGTGTCCCTGCTCCGTGAAGCTGGAGCCTGTGTCTCCTCCATGCCTCTGTTGCTCCTACAGCCACTGTGGACGTTTATCTTGCTGCTCATGTTCTTCGTCTACTGGGTCACTGTCCTCGCTTTTCTCTGCACTGCTGGTGGGTTATGTTGATAATTAGTAATTGAGTGGGGGGGGGAGGCTTTTTTCACATTCAACACTACATGGTTATTTAGGATGTGGGACCTCTTTATTTAATGTCCATCTCCGAGAGGACTAAGCCAGTTAGGTGGAGAACCTTGAACCCTCCCCCCTCCTCCCCCCCCCATCTCAGATAATGTAAGTTCTAAAACTCCCCACCTTGGTCACCTGGCGATGAGTGAGGTCACTTAGATGTATAGGAGATGAAATACATAACTGTGGCAAGGGCTGAGGTACAGATAGCACAGGTGTGTGATGAAAATAGCCCATAAAGTAGTTTACTTCTTTTTTTTACGAGGTTTTAAGTTTGAGGTAATGGTATAGTCTTTTGCTTTTTTCAGTTTTGTTTTTCATAAAACTAATGCAAACCCAAATGTTCAAGGTTTCATCAAGATAGTGTACCGAAAATTACTAACCCTAAATTTGCAGTCCTTTATTTTGATTCTTTGCCTTTTACGAATGAAGAACTCTAGATGAGAAATAAATGTCAGTCATTTTTTTTACTTAGATACAGTTAAAATTTCATCTCTCTGTCTGTTGAATAATTCAGAGCAGTTTATCCATCAATTTTTTATGTAATTCCCAGCCAAAAGCATCTTTATCAGTTCTCATAGTTAGCATTATATAAAGGTTATGTTACTGTGTATTGTTGGTTTTAATTCTCATTTGATATTTAAGCTGCTATGTCGTCTGGATGCTTCAGGATGAAAAATTTTTTTAAACCCATGAAGCCCTTTTACCAAGGATTTTTTCAAAATTTATTGTAGAATCTGATCTCACCAGTCCTCCTGTTCACAGATATTTGGCAGTTTAGTTTGAGAGTATGTCTTAGGCCTATTGATATACATGTATTCTTAGTGACTATAATTTGTTAAAGGTTTCTTCTCTGTCATTTTTCAGAAAACCCAAGCGTGATCCAGCACCATTATGTAGTTTACACAGAGCACGAGACGGTGACCTACTTCTGGTGGTATCACCTGGTGGGCCTTATCTGGGTCAGCGAGTTCATCATTGGGTGCCAGAGCTTTGTCATTTCTGGAGCCGTGGCTAGATGGTACTTCACTAGGTAAGAGGACACTTTTTAATATCTTATTCTGTCCATGTATTCTAACTGTGTAGGATGCATTCAGTAATGGAAATAGTAAATTTTGGAAAATAAACTTTATTATTGAAACAGTTTTGTAGCTGAAAATGAAGAAGGAAAAAATTCTCATTGTTTATTATTATAATGAATGACATTGCAAGAGTTTTGTTGCTGAAAGAAAATGTTATCCCTAGTAAACATTTTTTCTAGTCATTCATCTTGAGGAGCTGTATTGCTCCAGATGTTCTCATAATGCTTTAAAGTGAAATGAAGGCTTTTGTTTTTTTCTGTACAAATTTATTCTATTTTTCCTTGTATGTTCTTTGTATTGTTTTATTTTGAAATATCCAAACTCAAATTTTCATGTTTAAATTATTTCAGGGAAAAGAATCAGCTGGGATTCCCCATACTTGGTACAATTGGTCGCCTGATTGTGTTTCATCAAGGATCTGTTGCGTTTGGGTCATTCATCCTCACTCTTGTTAAATTCCCAAGGATGATTCTGATGTTCATCAGTAAAAAGTGAGTAGAACACTCTAACTAAGGTTGCCTTGTTTTAAACATTCATTCAGTTCACAGATTTCAGATTTTATACCCCATTTCAAGTTGGTTAACCTATCTCATTCTTCCAATTCTTCTGTTGACTTAAGTAACTGTTTTCTTCTAAAGATGGCAACTCCAATCTTTGTAGGCCTACATACAACAAAACACGGTGATGATACACAAAATTGAAAAGTTCTCCTTAATTACATTTAAAATTTACCTCAGCATTGTCGTATAAACAGATTTGCTACTGGTTGTTGTTTTTTTCTACATATTTATTAAAGTTTTCTTTTCACTATCAGAATGCTGACTTGTCATTTTTATATTCAGTCTTAACAGAAAACAATGTTCATTTATACAATTTTCCATTATTTCAGATTAAAAGACTCTGAAAGCCACTGTGGAAAGTTTTGTGCCAAATGCTGTTGCAGCTGCCTGTGGTGTGTGGACAAGTGCCTCAGATATCTCAACCCTAACGCATACACCATTGTTGGTGAGTACTTCGGCTCATCAAAGTGATAATTTAGAATGATACGAAATGTTTATTTATCATAAATCTATAATCTGTGGAACAAACTATGGCAGTATGATGAAATATCAAATGAGTAAATGAGTAGCCACATACACCATTGTGTGTGAGTACTTGGGCTCATCAAATTGTCATAATTTAGTGTCATATGAAATATTTATTTATCATAATTCTATCATCTGTGGAACAGACCAAGGCAGTGCATTGCATGATGAAATATCTAATGAGTAATGAGTATCCTCAGAAAAGTTTTGATTTACAGATTGACCTAAGAGAAAAAAAATGGTCTTTCAATGAGAATTATTCCGTTTTCCTTTAATATTTTCTTAAATTGATTTTACTCCAAGCAAAGGGCACATGCAATAGTTATTAAGAAATAGAACCATGACTTAAAAATGATATGTAATGGGAATGCTGAGGATTGTATGACAAACTTTGGGTTGTTCACTTCCTTTTGAACCATCTTAACATATTTCTTTTGTTGTTTACTTTCAGCTGTGAGTGGGAAAAATTTCTGCACTTCAGCAAGAAAGGTAAGTACAATCTTTGAGATATGTTTTTGAAAAATAAATAGACAAATGAAAAGATATTAGACTTTAGTCTGTGCGAAATGCATTTGAAAATGTTTTACCTTTTTTCTTGCTGACTTCCAACATTTTATATTTTTCCTGAGCATTTGATGTATTTTGAGTCTGTTTTAATGAGAACGACCCAACAAAATTGATTCAATAATCCAATTATCAACTTTTCCTCCATCTGCACATAGTAATTCAGTCTGAATTGAGAGAAATTGTCAGAAAATAGGGCTATGTCCAGATGTATTTTAGGTAAACATCATGCCTCTAGCAGCCACTATTGTCTAGAAATGCACATTATTAGTAAATGTGTTGAATGTTATCCTTCTTTTATGTCCCGTGGCTTAACAGATATATATGAATTTTTTTCAGGGTCATTATGTGCTGATGAGCAACGCCTTACGTGTCTCAGCCATCAACAGTGTCGGGGACTTTGTTTTATTCCTTGCCAAAGTCGCAGTGATGGCCGCCACGACTGCTGTCAGTATCATCTGGTTCAAGGTCAGTCCTGTGCACATCTTACATTTTGTAAATATGGATGCTTGACTATATCCTTACTGAGCCATTTTGCTGCAATTTTTTTTCCTTTCTGACTGTTATCAGAAAAAAATATAATTTTCAGAGAGACTCAAATGTGCTGTATATTAAAATGCAGGGAAACAAAGACAAAAATAGTTCCAGAATAAAACAGTGGTATGTGTGATTCTCGAAATCTAGAATGGAAGATTTTAAGAATTTGTCAAATGTGGTTTGCCCAAGTTAAAGAATGCGTTAAGTCAATCAATGAAAGCATTTGTTTATTAGGTGATGATTTCAAGCACTTTAGTTTTCTTTTTCATACAAGTGAAAGGGAGGTTGGTTATAAAGACCATCGTGAAAGAGTCCCAACCCGGACTCTGACTCTGTTCGGGGGGACTCGGGTCTTCATAATCCATTTGAGAATCTAGATGAATTGCTTTAGTACAATTTCAATTAGTGTAGTAACTCCAGTTTTTATCACTGATATTATTCCTATATTATTTTTATTAATAGTATCTTTATTGTTTGTTTGTTTTCAGAGCCAAGATGATTTGCATTTCTACGCCATTCCTGTCCTTCTAGTGTCTGTGTTTTCATTCTTCATTGCTCACTGCTTTCTTTCTGTGTATGAGGTAAGTCATCAATGAGCTATGGCTTTGAAGTATAATATTTCTTTATTGGTTCCAGCTAAGTGAAACATATTTTTTATATCTCTGACTCATATGTTGTAATCTTCTGTCATCTGCTAGAAGAATTTAAAGCTCAAGTGACTTCGGTAGCCTAATGAAATGTTTGTTTTTATTGTTATTAAGTTATGGAAACCTTTAGCTTAGACAATAAGGTGTCATCTTCTTATCTTACCTTCTGTTATGTTATGCTATGCTATGGTAAGTATCTTATTGTATCTTCTCTTTTCTTATCTTATCTTATCTTGTCTTATCCTATAAATTCGTAAGTACTAATGAGCTACATAAAATTTTGTCCACAGATGATTATTGATGCCTTGTTGCTGTGTTTCTGTGAAGACAGAGATCTGAATGATGGCTCACCAGAACGACCCTACTTTGGCAGCAGAAGTCTCATGGTGAGTGAAGAAAGGAATCTCTACAGACTGTATGCTCTGTTTTCAGCAAAACAATAGAAAAGAATTTGTTTCTTCACTTTGAAGATGGGGAAAAGATGGATGGAATCATCATTTTATTTAATGCTAAACTTCCAACAATTTGAATCTCTTTGTCTCAAGTGAGCTTCATATACACCTGCAGTTCAAGTGCAATGTGGTGAATTAAAAAATCACTATTTTTCTCATACTTTGTCCTTTTACTTTTTATGTAATGCTCAGATGCCCATGTAATCAATCACCGGATTTCTAACCTATAGTTTGTCTTGGCTTTAATGTTGCATACCCTCTTTCATAATATTATAGGGTCTGTTTTGAAATGTATTTCTTACAAAATTCCTTTCAATTGTTTAAAAGAATTGTTTTAATTTTTTGTTTACAGCTCGGCCTTTTAGAGAGCAGTAAAGGTCTGGATGGTGTTCCAAGGCAATCAGGGAGGGGAGCAAGTGAACCAGAGATGGAGCCCGCTCAAGTCTGATACTACTGAAAAGATTGAATGCAGATGTGTGGGTGTGTGTGTGTATTGTGTGTGTGATTGCTAAATCGAAAGTGGTATGACTCAGCGAGCTGAACGGGAGTAAGCTAGAACAACATCTGAGTGATCAGTGAGTTATAAGTGAGAAATTCTTGTTGAAGAAAACTGCGCTTGAAGATCTGTGAGCACGTTATTTGTTTGAGGATGCATGTCAGTTGTGAGTTCAGTAACACTGGATATGCAGACATCAAACTGATTGAAAGCTGTGACTGAGGGCATTGTTTTTAACAAGTAAGTGAGACCATAGTTTGCTGGTCAAACCGTGGGGGATAATGAACCACAAAGTGATGTTTCCCCTTGCTAAATTTGTATATATACTATGGTTTTATGCCAGATTGCTGAAATGTGACTTATTCCATGAATATGAAGAGTAACTATAACTGCGATTCCTGAAAGAATAACCACATTATTCCTAACAGAATAATGCAACTATAATAGTATTATATTTTTTACGACATCGATTGTACATATGGTAAATACAACTTTGCATTTATTCCTATACTAATTATATAAGTATTTGGTTCTAAACACTATTTGCTAAGTTTCTCTTTGTTTCTGTTGGTTTTGTGTAATTGAAAGCTTTGTTCATTTACACAACCTTGTTTGTTATAGTTTTCTGTTTCATTTTTGCTAAACCTTTGTTGATATTGTTATTGCTAAAATCTTTGCATTATTTTTTGTGCACTTTCAAGGGACTGAAGTTAAAGTTTAGAAAATATTTCAGCAGGAAAACAAAAATGCTTAACAATTTTTAAGTATTTCAAGAAGAACATTTAATTTAAACAATGAACTCAATCTTTGCAAAGTGCTCTCTTGATTAATTAAAATTGTCCTCAAGTTTGGACAGAAGATAATCAAAATGGGATTTTTTTTTCTACAATTTGAATGAAGAGAGCTTCACAACAACCAGTTGTTAACATCTGTAAATGCACTCCTTGTGCTGACTATTCTAATGGTAATTTATTTAAGGAAGGGAGGTATTTCTGCAACTTAGATGAAATAACAGGCCAAGCCAGATTCAAATCCAATTAATAGCATGGGACCTTTAATGATAATTGAAAATTTAGATTAGATTACTATCTTTAACCTTGAAAATTAAGTGAGTATGTGCCATGGTTTAGGTGCGCATATGTGTGTCTGTGAGTGTGTATGTGCACATGTGTGTTTGTTTGTTGGGGCCTACTAACAAATCTCAAACTCTGACTCAGTCCTGTTTTGAGAAAGTAGCAAACTCATGCATTTGCAAATGTCGGTAGAATCTTTATTAAATTTCGTGCTATTATTTCTGTTGTTAACACGCCAGAATTTCATTATAGTTTTGATATCTACAAGTTGGTTGTATGTAACAGATAGTTGCACACTGTAGGTTTTTTTTCTTTTATTGGCAAGTTGCCCACAATTGGACGAACCAACGTTTTTGTGTGCTCTCATTAGTAGCTCTTTTTCTGTTCTTTTAATACTGAAAAGCTGAGTTATTCTTTTATTAGGAAATCACAATAATGCTCCTCTGCATAAAAAGGTGCTTCGGAAATAAAGCTTTTTGTTTTGGTAGAGTAGGTATAAAAAGTAATGTTGGTTTTTAAATTTTCTTTATAATGCCACGCCTTGACTTTGCTTCTATTTGTTATACATTTTTGTTGCTATTGACAGTATGATGAAACTTCTAGCATATTTATTTTTCCAAATGTTGGGGGTTCTTTTGACCAAAAAATAAAGTTAGTGTAAGGCACTAAACTAAAACTGCAGTATTATAGCAACCTCTAGCATTTAGTGATTTGGTATGTGTGTTTGATTTTTATTAGTTAGCCATTTTAGGACGCTATTTACAATTTTCTGTGCTTATTCTTTGTGTTCTTTCTTTTTATTTTTATTTTTAGGTTACATGTTTTTTTGTACATACTGTAAGCATTATGTCATTATTTATTTATTATCAATTTCCATTTACCATTGCAGATAAAGTTTAAGTATGGATGATGAGAAATAGATATATTTTTATATCAGAAAATGTTTTGGAGATATATGGATTTAGAATCACAGATGCTTGCTGAAGAGCTTTGGGGCATCTGTTAACTCTCAGTTGATGTCGTTAAAAGTGAAGAAAGAAAAACTCCAGGCCTTCTTTACACCTATGATGATTGCTTGCATCTCTAAAGCTGTGAAAGCTACAGAAATAAATTGCATGCTTCTGAGAAAAATGAAGCAGATATTAACTGTCTGAAGCAAGTACCACGCTCAGTGATCATGTTTGGAGATAATTATTTCCTTTAAGTTTCCAACTAAAGATAATTTCTCATACCAAGATGATCTGTGAAAAGTGCAGTACATCCAAACTTACTTTAAATGTAAAATGTCATGTACATTTTTACATTGCTTCCACATTCCAAGACATTTTGAACAAGATCTACACAGTCTGTTCTTCTTTTGTACATTCAAAATAATGGTGTGGTTAGTTAGCATATTTTTCATGAAAAATTCTAATTTGGCAGTCTAGTTTCAGATATAAATGCTTCATAGAAAAAGAATGTAATATATTGCGGAACTCACTGAAGAATTTCTCGTAACACATTCGTAATGTGTTTTCGTAACACATTCGTAATGTGTTTTTAAAGGGAAATAGGGATAGATCAGGAGTTTCACACTGTTGCATTAACAGGGACTGGTAAATCAGCTAGAAAGTATCTAGGTGATGAGATATGAAATGTTGAAAGGGTGGGGTGGTGGGTGGAAGAAGGGATGAGGTTATGACCTTCATTGTCATTGTCAAAAATCCAGAGACAAAATTTAAGAAACAAGTCAGGCCAACACAAGTGCCCTTCTCAATTACTTTTTTGAAATAGCAGATCATATTGTTCAGTAACATTCATTCATCAGGTATGTGTATACCTGCAACTTCCTGCAAAGCCCTGATATTGGCATCGCCATTTGCAACTTCCAATTACTGTTCCCTGAAAATCAATTACTAGCAAATCAATGCTCAACAGCCTTTGTTACTGTCTATTTCATAAACCCATCAATCTAAGTGTCCTGCTTTGTTTGTTGACTTATGACAAAGTCTGCAATTCCATGTCAGTGAATGGGAGTCTGTGTAATGGGATGTATGAATTTATGCGCCTTGCATTGTACACCGACTCTTTGCAAAGAACTCATTTACATAAAACATATCGGATGGATGAATCTCTACGGAAGATGCAAGTGAGAGAGAATATGCAAGTGAAGAAAAGGAACTTTTCTTGTACATATTGTTAATGGAATTTTGAGTCTTGTAATGTTGGAAAGTTGTAATTTGAGAGTGTGACAGGGTTTTTTTTTTGTAAATTAAAGCTAGATGAGAAGATTGAGATAATGGTTGAAAAGAAAGGTGCCACAGCAATATATGGTCAGGTGGAGAGTGTGATGTAACGTAGGTGTGTGCATGTGCATGTGGGCGTGCATAGGTGTTTGTGTGATCTCTAAACAAGATATATGAATATGAAAGTTTTCAAAAAGAGAGAAGTTGAATGAGAGGGAAATGTTGTGGTGCTTCATTGTGTGAAAGCGGCTGCTTCCTCGTCGAAGTGGTGTTCCAAATGTCTCAAGCTCCTGCCATGATATGTGTGTTCAAAGGTAGACACCAAGCTGTGTTGTAACAAAGATAGTACAAGACAAGATGGGCCACTCAGCCTAAAAAGTGTCCGCAGGAAGTATGCTCTTTGCTTCAGATGGCGCTGCAGTCTGTTTTGAAGCTCTCTTTCGTTTTTCCAGAAGAAGAATAGGAATAGCACCTCCTTGCGTGCGCAGATCGACTGCTGTTCATCAGCAGTTCGGGTATGTTCAGTGCGGAGTTTTAGGTTTTTAAAATTTTTAATGACCTCTCGCCTTTCATTCTAAAGTCAAATTAAACGAAGAAAACCATCTCCTTTTCCTCCGGAAGAGGTTTTTTGTCAGCGTAATCATTTTTAAAAAGCGTTCTTCCGAAATTTATCCCAAAACTTGCTAGTTTCACTTTGATTTTTTAAAACTCAAGTAGGGTAACTCTGTTCGCAAAGAGTGCGCTTTTGTGAAGAGGGCGCCACCAAATTTTGAGGACACTTTTTTAATTGGCTCAAAGAGAGAAGTGGCCCATCTTGTCTTGTACTATCTTTGGTTGTAATTAAAACTGGGTTTTGAGATAAAAGAGTGGGAATGTTTGTGAATTTGTACATACTGTGAATGCTTTTTTTCTGAGAGAAGTGAAAGAAGAGATAATGACATAAATTTTCATTCACATCTCTTTAGAGCGGACTGAAGTGCTCAGCATGTTCTGTCTGCTCGTCTTCAAGATTTTGCATTCCAATTGCCAAAATATCTCAGCACAAGTGAATGAAAAGTTATGTTGTTATTTCTGTATGAAGTAGTGATGAAGGAAATATGTTCTTATGTGATTGTACCTTTTTTATCTATACATACTGTATTTTGTTGCGGTGAATTCAGAACTTGTTTATGCTGTTCACAAGAAGAATAAAAATGATCCATATCACAATACAATACTGAGTTTGTCTTTGTTTAGAATTAAGTTTCTTTATAATTTGATATAATGATTTGAAAGAAATGCAAACAATATTTCATGATTGTGAGCTGAACCCAGAGTTGGACTGTAGTAGACAAAAGACTTTACTAAATATCTGGAAAGCAAAGGCAAAAAAAACAGTATATGTTTCTCTCAATAATATGTCACCTCATCAATATCCCACTTTCTCTTCAAGGTAGTGAGGGGATTTTTTTTTAGAAATGCTTGATTATGTACGAAAACAGTACATCTAAGAACATTTTAAAGACAGTCAGCCGTAACTGGTGTTGTCATAATTGCAGCTGTAGATGTTTTTACGTCCCGATTGACACAATTTTAGATCATTTCGAACACAGGGCTGCTTTGACACTGTCGGTGAGGGCTGACCCGCAGACAGAGAAGGACACACCATCCCAGCAAAAGAACAGAGATACTCGATTTTTAAAAACCTTGCCACACAGGAATCAAACACATCTTCTGAGTGTGATGGTGAAGCACCCTCCCTCTACACCGCAGATGCTTGTCTCTTTTTTGCCTTTTACTCTGTTTCCCTATCCCCTGTTTCTATGTTGTTGAAGTTGTTTGTTTTTTAAATTTAAGATGCCAAATGTACTTAATTACGTGTTGTTGAAAAATGTGCATTGCAATGTTAGACTAAATGTTAATTATTATAATTGAATCAAAGGGACGCTAAAGATAAAGCAGACATGTATACTGTCATAAGAAGGAGAGTGTAAAAAAAAGTAGTTGATAATGATAATGAAATGAAGGGGATGTGAAGCCTGGTTAGTGCTCTGCTTTTGTTGGTGCTTCTGCTGTTGCTGTGGCTGATCAGGCTAGCAAAGATAATTGTGATCATATTTTTGACGATATTGGAATATTCTTTAGAACATCCTGAGAGTGAGACAGTTGTGTTTGAGTTTCTCTTCCGCCCGGCAAGCTTGGGACGATGACAGAAAATACATGTACTAGAAAATGCCGTGTGACGGAAAGACGCTCCGCCGTCGCAGGCATAGGACTTGACTTCAATTCCTGTGTGGGGAGAAATTTTATCAAGTATCTCCGTCTTTCGGCTGAGACATTGTTTCCCTCTAACCCGGGTGGCCATGACATGTAGAGTTGGAACCCACCTCCTAAATTATCCAATTTGTGTCAATGTTTGTGTAGAACACCGAGATTATTTTTTTTAATGACGAAGCAGCTTTGAAATCTGATATAGTCATTTTGGAGGTCGAGGGCTTGGTTTCTTAGTGAGCCAACTTCTCGTTTCATTTTCGTTTGGGGAATAAGAAGCACTTCGACACAATATAATATTATTACAACGGCCAAAGGAACAAATAGTAATACTAACAGACCGAAACAAATGAGAGGAAAGAAGAAAAGTTTGACTTAACAGAGGCGCCCTCCAACCATCCTCTCCTGATCCTTGAATGGAAACCCAGTGAGAATGAATTTGTTTTAATTTTTAACATGGGTTCGACCCTCTGGGTTTGCCTTCTCCAAACTTGTTTCGACTTCAATTATAAGGAGATAGCAAAGGGGGCACCATTTTTGTTGATTTCGTAGATTTGGGGGGGGGGTGGTGTTGGTTTGTTTGTTTGTTTATCTGTTGGTTTTGTTGGTTTTGTCGTCGGGCATAGTGAAAATGGCAAATGAAAGGATAAAATACAAAGCAAGCACGAGATAGTCGGACGGAAAGCATAACATTATGAAATTGGGGACAACAAATAGAGAAACTTGACAAGCCAAAGAAATAGAACACCACAGAGAAAAGTGCTTCTTGGGGACTAGAAACCAATCTGATGAAGGTTTTCTTATTTCAATTAACTTTCAACACGAAAAAAAAATGGTGAAAACGTAATGGACAGAGCTCCAAATTAATGCTCATTTTGCGAAAAGACGCGCGTGTTGTACGTACTACAAAGCCTTCAAACGACGCAAATCTCAATGGGTGCGTTATTTAAATTGCTATGGCCGTCTCAAGATTCCGCTGTGGGACAACATACCCTAATGATGGTCTGAAGGTGAGCCGGGAAAGAAAATTGTGAGTAAAAATTGCATCCTGGGAAATCTCAAGTCTTTACTTCCGCAGTATGATTTGAGAAAGGAGGCTAATTAAGGCGTACGTCCGGCGTGTGTGTGCCGGAGTGTGTGTGTGTGTGTGTGTGTGTGTGTGTGTGTGTGTGTGTGTGTGTGTGTGTGTGTGTGTGTGTGTGTGTGTGTGTGTGTGGATGTGTGGATGTGTGTGTGTGTGTGTGTGCAGCTCGAGCGTACACGTTTATGTGTGTTTGAATGCCTCCGTGTGTACGTGTATCTGCTTGCTCGCGAGCGTGAGAGTGAATATGCGGGTGGTGGTACGGCCGCTCATGTGTAAGACTACCTTAGTTTCTTTCTTCGCGTTTCAGTCTCAACTTTATCATTAATAAATTTTTCCTCTTTTCTGGGTGTCAAAAAAAATATATTATATTTTTTAGACGAGCTAAGCAATGGCCGGATTTCCGGACAATTACTTTCGACACAAAATAAAATCAGTTTCTAATTATGAAGCAACGCTTTGAGACAAGATAGTAACAGGAAAAAGATGTAGACTTCAGGCTTAACTTGGATGCCTACCTGTATCAATTAAGACCGGAAACAAAGGTGCTGGGGAAAGGGAAACCGAAGCAAAAGCAAAAATATATCGCAAATGATCCGATGAATACTCACTCCCAGTCTAATTTATCGCACGAAAGCTTACTTTCATTACCTGTGAGGGGATATACAATTTCAAAGCTTGATTAGAATTTTTTTTTAAATTTTGTTTGCTTTATGGGGGGGGGGGGTTGTCTTTTTTGTGTGTATGTTTTGTTTTAGTTTTTTTCTTCTGTTGTACGTACAGCTTTCATGAAATTGAAAGGAAAGATGAGGAAATATGATGAAGCGAATGGATTATGACATTGAGCAAGTTCCAGGTAATGAATTGAATATCCTTCACTACATGTACTGCGTTAATCCGGAGTGAACTAAATGAAGAAGGAATAAACGCGTGTGCGAAACATCAGTTTAACGTGTTCAGCGACGTTGTTGTTGTTGTTGTTGTTGTTGTTGTTGTTGTTGTTGTTGTTGTTGTTGTTGTTGTTTTGTTTTTGAGTTTTTTTGCTATTATCATTACTGTTGTAATTGTTGTTGTTATTGTTGTTGTTGTGTTGGTGGTGGTTGTGGCGATGGTGGTGTTGTGCTGTTGTCACTTTTATTGCTGTTGCTGTTGTTACTGTTATCCTCGTTGTCGTGTGTGTTCTTCATATCACTGTTGTTGTTGCTTCTTCTGCTGCTGGTAGTAGTAGTGCTGAGGAAAAGGCAGAAGAGGAGGAAGATGATGTGTAGAAACTTAAAGAACAAAGAAAGGCGGAAAGACACTGTTGTCTTTCTTATGGTGGCTACTTATATTGTTGTTGTTGTTATTGTTGTTGTTGTTGTTGTTGTTGTTGTTGTTGTTGTTGTTGTTGTTGTTGTTGATGTTGTTGTTGAAGTCGTCCTCGTCGTCGTCGTCATTGTCTTCATCTTCGTTGCAGTCGCTCCTCGGGTTTCTTTCGATGACAACCCAATCTGCTGTTTACACTCTCAATATACATGACTGTATAAGTCTTTGCCTTTATTTAGGGAGACAGAGAAAACAACGAGAACATTAACAACGCACAAAGACAAGATAGACGAGGAATGAAACCCAACACCATCCTGAGCAATTGTCATTTTGATTACTAAGATATTTATTCCATCACATATTATGGACTCAAAGTGAGTCAATTTGCATACATTAATGTTGTGAGTCCAGATGAAGAACCTAGTTAGAAATTTCCTATGTCTTATGAAGACGACTTGCCTTTGACATATTTTTAAATTCATTTAGTCCAAGCCTCCTTGTTCTCAGAGAATTCATTCGATGTACATGTCGTTTCTTTTTTTTATTTGGGGGAGGGGTGTTTTGGTGGATTGGAACAGTCTTTATATGCAGCAAAAATACATGTAAAAGAGTGAATATTTGTGTACACGTGTACCTGCTGTGCGAGTATGTGTGTTTGTGTGTGTGTGTGTGTGCGTGCGCGTGT